GTGGCACTTTGGGGATTTCCCTGATGGCAACATCGCTCCTAAACACGGCACTTCCCAAGTGACAAAGCCCAAATGTCCAAAGCACCATGTCCCCATGGTGGGGTGGGACCACCTCATCCACTACCCTGCCCTGCCCTTTCCTCCAGGTTCCACAGAAGGACAATGACTCTTTCCTCCAGCCTCAGATGCCACAGGACACAGAGTGACCACAATGGGGAGGAACAAACCAACCCAAGGTCCAACCAACTCAACCCTCCCCTATGAACAACCCCCCCCGTCACGCTCCACTCAGCCCACGGTTTGGGGTGACCAAAAGGCTTCTTGGGGGACACTCACCATCTCTGTAGGGCTGCAGGGCCTCATCTCCCCAGGATGGGGGGAAAGGGGACAGAGGAGATCGTGGGATGCTGCCCTCGGATATGGGGGGGACGCTCTTGCGGGGCGTGAAGCCATGTGGAGCCCGGCCCGGGGAGGCGCTGGGCCCCCAGGGCTGCCTGCAGCAGTGGGTGCTCGGCCGAGTTGGCCAACAGCTCCTTCAGGATGTTGATGGGTGAGATGGTGAGTTCCCAATTGGTGATGCCAAAGTCTCTCAGGTGGGCCCTGGCGTGGCTGGAGAGCCCGGCCCGCGTGTCGAAGCCGGCCCCGCAGAACTCGCAGCGCATCAGGCTGAAGGTGCTGGGGTCAAAGTTTGCAACTGTGGAGAGAAGGGGCAAGGAGAAGGGCAGAGAGTCACCACCACCCCCACCAAGACCATGACTGGGGCCAGGGAAGGGGGATGTGAGGGGGTGTTGCAACCAAGACAACCACACGGTTGCGCCGCGGCCACCAGGGTTCAGGTTGACCCCGGTCTCATACGTACCCAAGGGCTGGTGGGAGGAGAAAAGCCCACCAGGTGAAAGGAGGGAATAGAAACACAGTGAATTGAATACATACTACCTTTTTTCTTCTTCTTTTGGAAGGAAAATTTTTGCTCAATGGCTTTCACTTCTTCTGCTGAGATGAAGTGCCGGACGTTGTAGCTCACCCCCACCCTGTTGAGGTGGCCCCGCACGTGGTTCGCCAACCCGATCCCGTTGTGGAACCTGTCTGGGCAGTAGGGACATTTCCTCTCCTCATTCTTCAGCATGGGTGAGTCAGAGTCCAAGAGGTCATCAAGCTCCAGAGGACCCTCCAGAGGAGAATCCAGCAGGAGCATATCCAAGGGAAGGTGCTCTTCCACCAGGAATTCCCGAGGAGGGAGCATCGTTTTCCTCTTGAACGCCTTGGCCCGAGGCCGCTTGGTCGCCTTGGGGTGCAGGTTCACCTTCTCCAGGAGGACAATGGGGACCATCTTCCGCAGCTGCTGCTGCTGCTCCTCCGAAGCTATTGAAGAGTCCGTGGCCTTCAAGGTGTGTCTGAACGTCCTCTTGAGCTCCAAGGCAGCTTGAGGGACAGTGACAGGTTTGACATCCCTGTTCCCGCTCAAAGCCATCTCTGTGCTCATGGAGATCTCCTCTTCCATGCTCCCAACATCGTTGGCCAACAGCCACTTGTGCCTGAGCTCCTCCAACCCCATTGGGTGGCTTCTCAGCCCATCCCCTTCTCCTTCCAGGTGCTGAGATGCTGCTTTTTTTTTCAGCTGCTGCAGAGCAAAGTGGGAATAACCTTTAGCTGAGGGAAACCCGGCAAGTCCCAGGGCTTTGTGAGGAGCAGCGTAGGGAGCTCCTTTCCTGGCGTGGAACCCCGAGGCCTGGTGGTCCTTTTTACTGGCCCCATTGCTCTTGTCCAGCCGGGGGTGGCTCAGGGGAAATCCATGGATTGCTTCATACTGGGACGTGCTCTCCCGGTGGGATGGAGGGAAGAGCTGTTCCGCTTTGCCGAAATAATCCGGGTCTGGAAAGCGGCCTGTCCTGGCTGGGCTGTAGGCATCTCGGCTGGTTCCTGGCTGGTTGGGATCATCCTCGTACACCTCCGTGTCCCAGGAGAGGTGGGAATGGGCGTATTTCATGTGCTCCTTGAGGATGTTCTCATTGGGAGCTGGGAAGCTGCAGAGCACACAGGTGCTGAGCCCTTTGCCGCTGGCGGGAGGTGGCACCTGCAGGGACGGGTGATCGTTGGGTTTGAGGTGTTTGTAGATGCCCTGCATGGGGTTGTCCTGGAGTTCTCCACTGCTGGAGCTTCCAAAGAGATTCAGGTTCTTTGCTCCTTGGTCCTTCCTCTCCTTGACGTGCATCTTGGCATGTTGGACGAAGATCTTGGAGGAGTTTGTGCCAAAGACACACTTGGGGCACTGGAGCCGGGCGTCCCGGCCCTCGTCCGGAAACTCGTTCAACTTCTGGATCTCCTCGATGATTTTTTCCCTGGACTCTTGGTGGAGCCTCTTGTGCTGCTCCAGAGAGGTAGGGTCTCCAAAGGCCCACCCGCACTCGTTGCAGCAGAACTGACACTGCCCCCCCAGAGCATCTCTATCTTGGTCCCTCCCTGGTCCACGGTTATGCTGGAGCATGTGATCCATCAGGTGTTCCTTCTTCTTGAAGTAGATGCTGCACTCGATGCAGGTGTAGACCGTGGGGTCCTCCTCTTGACCCAGCTCCTCCTTCCCCTGCTCCTCCAGCAGGACGCTGCACACGTAGGGCCTCATCTCCACCTCATAGGAGCTGCAGGGAGCAGGTTCCAGAGCTGCCACCGGGACCCTCTCCACCGAGTCCTCCGCATTCACTGTCCAGGACTGCTTGCCCACGGTGAGGTCAGGGCCGAGCTGCAGACCTGGCTTTTGAATTGTCCACGCAGCTGTGTTGAGTGGGTTGACCTCACCCATCTCTGAGTCCACAATCAGCCCCTTCCTGTGGGACGAGGAGCTCTCCAGGGATTTGGTCTTGCCCAGGACAGGGTTGAGCGTTTTCCGGAACAGCGTCGGAGTCGGCGGAGGAGGCACTTCCCGCAGGGCCTGTCCCCGGAAGGGCAAGTTGGCTGCTACATCTGTTGGCTTGTTCATGTCTTTGTAGTGAGGACTGGGGCTTCTGTTGGGTCTGGAGATCCACTCGACCCTCTGGACGCCCCTCTTGCTCTTCTCTAAGTGCTCTTTGCTGAGGCCTTCTAGTTGCTTTGGTTCATTTTTAAGGAATTTCTCTTCCCCGCCGCCAACCGACCCCCCAGCACCAGGGCTGGGAGCTTCTGCTGCCTCCTTCCCACCAGCCAGCTCCTCCTCCTCCTCCAGCTGCTCGGGATCCACGGCACTGACCACCTGGGGTTCCCCAGGGAACACTGACTCCTTCCCACACCGCGTGTCCTTGGAGCCAGGGGCTCTCTCCAAAGTGCTTCCCTCCCTCCCATCGCCCGCTCTTGTCCCCAGGCTGGAGGTGTCCCAGGTCCCACCACCAGACACCGCCACGTTCCGCAGCTCCAGGGAGCTCCTGGCATCCGGCCTGTACAAAACCTTCTGGAATTCCAAACGCTCGTCACTGGGGGAGCTGGAAAGAAGTGGTGAGAGTTAATGACCCATCAGTGGGGGAAGACAAACATCTCCATGGACACGAGGGTGGTCCAGGGAGCGGGGCGACCTGACGTGGTGTCACCAGGCTGGGGATCTCATGGGGACTCCTGTAGCACCCCAAAAGTTAAAGACCTGGGGCAGAAACAAGCCCATCCCGTCCCACCCTCCCTTGGTCACGTGAAGCCAGACTCATTTCTGTGTCTTCTCCTGGGCTTGCTCCAAGGTTCCAGCACTGATTCTACCATGTTCATGGCAGGTACAACAGGAGCCTTGGGTTGCCATCACCAATTCCTGCCTCTCTCTTCACCCCCCCTGCAGCTTCTCCTTCCCTTTCTCCTACCTCCTCGGGATGGTTGGACACCTCATTGCCTCCATCCTACCCAACTCAACAGAGATCTTTGTTCTTGGAGATGACACTTGTTACTATCAGACCAAGGAACAGGGCAAGGAGCTCCTCAAAGTGGCATCATAATGGATTAAGCTCCAACATGGATCACACCAAAGGATGCTTTGTCTCCATGATTAAATGTAAGTCCCAAGTGATCCCTCTCCACAGCAGGAGTGGGAAGTCTTACATCCCTGTGCAGACCCCCAAGTCACAATGGATCAAGGTGGTTCCTCCCCATCCTCTTCCAAGCCCTCAGCAAGAATCCCAAAGCTGGGAGGACCCTATCAAACAGCTGGAGAACATAAAAGCCTCCATAGATTGAGCTCTACAGTGGGATTGGGTGGTCCTGTGCCACCCAGCTGGGTGCTGTGGCACCAAAGATGTGTTTGGTGTCAGAGAAGGATGAAGGACACCTATGGCCAGTCCCAGCCTGGTGGTTTTGAAGGTCCTACATTGGGCTTGGAGGGTTTTTTCCTGGAAGAAGGGACATGGTGAGGACCTTGAGGGTGCAGAGGCACTTATGTTCTCCCAGATGCCTCAAGAGATTGGAGACAATTGGCATGGAATCATGGGTTATGAGACAGGATCTCCAAGAGCCTCAAGACAGCCTCCAAGAGCTGGGGTGGGGAAGTGGAGAACCTCCAACAGCACCAGGTCCCCACATTTGGGCTTCGGAGCTGGTGGTCCTGGTGGCAGCTTCATGGGGGTCTGGGGCCCAGCAGACTCAGGGTGCAGAGCAAGGTGAGGCCCCTCCATGTCCCCATCTCCACCCCAAGGCTTTTGTCCTCCACGGCCAACATCACACCCAGCTTCATCCCCCCACCCCTGGCACAGACACACAGCCAAGATCCGGGTGCTGAACATCCCCATCCCAACTCCTGCTCCCAACAAAACCATCCCAAGGGAAGGAGCTGCTGGGGTGTCCAGCCTGGTGACTCCAGACCTGCTGCTCCAGGGCCAGCAGGACATTGTCCCAGATTCTGCTGCTAAGAGAACAAAGCTCCTTTGCTGGGAGCAACGGGGCCACCAGCACCACCCGGGGCTCCCCTGACTCTCCCTCTCCTTCTTTTTCAACCTCTTTCCAGCTTTTTCCTGGGAAAAGCCAATTTGGGGGCAAACTGACCCTCCCACCCCGCAGCACATGGCCCACCCAGCTCCAAACCTCCCCCAGTTTAACCTCAGGAGGAACTGGTGGGCGTCCCCTGTGCCACCAGGAGGGACAAGGACCCTCATCCTGCAGGAACCTGGGGTGGCTCCCCCAAATCTGCCTCTTCTGGGTGCTTGGAGCTATTTGGGACATTCCTGAGGATCTTGGGGGGCACCCAACATGACCAACGGGAGCATCTGCCTCCAGCACCTCCATGTGCCCCACCTAGGGTCAGCGCCAGCTGGGGGAACTGGGATGGCCCCAAGGGGAACTGGGATGAGTTGGGGGAACCAGGATGGCCTTGAGGGGAACTGGGATGACCACAGAGAGAACTGGGATGGCTCTGAGGGGAACCAGGATGGCTCAGGGGAACCAGGATGGTCTCAAGGAGAACTGGGATGGCCTTGAGGGGACCTGGGATGTCCCCAAGGAGACAGCTCCCAGGGGAACTGGGATGGCTTCAAAGGGGAACTGGGATGGCCCCGGGGAGGAACTGGGATGGCCCCAGGGAGGAACTGGGACAGCCCCAAGGGGGGATTCTGGGCAGATCCAGGATGGTCTGTTGGGAACTGGGACAAACAAGAGGAAATGGAGCAGCCAACGCTGCTCAGCAGCTGGTGCTGGCTCCAGGGACACCTGCTGATGTCCTTGGTGGTGGGACAACCCTCCTTGGGGACATCCAAGGAGACATTCTGGGCCTTGGTGGAACTAGAGCCTGGGGAGCCTGGGGAGCCAGGCTCTGGGCACTCCCAGCCCTATGACATTCCCGGGAACTTACCCGAGCTCGGTCCTGGGAGCTGTGGCCGGGACGGCACCAGACAGGGCAGGATCAGGCTCATCTGCAAGAGACCAGAAAGCCCCCAGGTCAGTGGCCAAGAGAGGCTCCAAAACATCATTTGCAAGAAAGGATTAATTTGGGGTTTTGGTGCTCAAAAAGCTTCCCCAGCAGATAAACCCCCCCTGCCCGTCCTTCCCTCCCGCAGCTGCTCCGGATTACGGGAGGATTTCCCGGCCACACTTCCCAGGGTTTAATCCCACGAGCAACTATTTGATGTCCAAGAGCCAAGAGGCTCCCACTGCATCCAGCACGGAGCCACAGCTGGACAAGGGTTGGCCTGGTCCACCCAACAGGGAAGAGGTTTCACCAGATCCAAGGATGGGGCTCACGAGCCTCCGCGGTGCCAGTGGGACCCCCAACCCTGGAGCACCCGGGGCTTGGAGGAATCAAGGAATTGTCCTGGCTGGAAAAGACCTTTAAGACCATCGAGTAACCCAACACTACCCACCACTAAACCAACTCTACCAACCATAACCTGACTCTTCCAACCCTTAATCCAACTCTACCAACCATAACCTGAATCTACCAACTCTAACCTGACTCTACCAACCTTAACCTGACTCTACCAACCCTAACCTGACTCTACCAACCCTAACCTGACTCTACCAACCCTAACCTGACTCTACCAACCATAAGACAACTCTACCAATGCCAGTCCTACCACGTCCCTCAGCACCAAAGGAGCTTTGCTTGGCTCCAGTGTTGGCCAAAGCCCCACAATGGCTCCTGGGCTCCAAAGCTGCTAATGAGAAGATGCAAGGCAGGACTTCCAGCAGTGAGGACAGGTAGGAAAACACCTCCTGAAGATCTGCAGGGTCTGATGAGCTTCATCAGGCCCAGCCACTACCTTCCTTATGAGAAAAGCTTTTGGCCTTGTCCAACAAAGACAGCTGGATGGAACCAATGTGGCCCAGAGGCCCCACCAGCCAGGGCAGGACATGGGGGTCCAGGACCCCGTCCTGGTGTGGCCACATGTCACCTGTCCCAGCTGTATGGAAAGCCAGGAGTCACTTGTTCACATGGGTGAGGCCAGGAGCTTGGGGAAGCTCAGGTGGAGCTGGGTGAACCCTTGCTGGTCCCTCCTGCCAACCAACCCCAAGGCTCCTGCTGGGACAAGGAATTGTCCCATCATCATCATCACCTTGGGTCATGGGACACCCAGCACTGCCTGAAGGTCACCTGGAAATAGCCAGGAGGCCCCAGGGAGGAGGTGGCCACACCTCACTGGAAGGTGCAGACCTGGCACAGCCCATGCCTGGGGCTGCTGGAGACAAGGAAGGTGCAAGGAGCAGCTCAGCCTCCCCCACCACCATCCAACGACCCCAAGAGCCCCTCATGTTGGACATAGAGACAACAAGAAGAGCCTGGTCCTCCCCTCCTGCCCCCCTGGAGATCTGGAGCAGCCTTGAGGAGACCCCCCCTCAGGCTCCTCCTCTCCAGCTCCACAGCCCCAGCTCCCTCAGCCTTTCCTCATGGGCCAGATGCTCCAGTCCCCTCAGCCCCTTGGTGGCCTTTGCTGTCCCCTCTCCAGCAGCTCCTTGTCCTTCTGGGGAGCCCAGCCCTGGACCCACTTCTCCAGATGGGCCCTCACCAGAGGGGCAGGAGAACCTCCCTGCCCTCCTGCCCACACTCTCCTTGGTGCCCCCCAGGAGCCCAGGGGCCTTCTTGGCCACCAGGGCCTGTTTGCACCTCATGGTCACCCTGTTGTCCCCCAGGACCCCCAGGTCCTTGTCCCCAGAGCTGCTCTCCAGCAGGTCCCCCCACCCTGTGCTGCTCCCTGGGGTTGTTCCTCCTTGGGTGCAGCTCCTGCACCTGCCCTGCTTGAACCTCATGAGGTTCCTCTCCAGCCTGTCCAGGTCCCCCTGAGTGGCCCAGCCCTCGGGGGTGTTACCCACCTTTTGGCTCCAAAATCATTTTGGAAAAGCCTGGTGAGATCCAAGGCCAACCTGTCAAGGTGACCGGAGCCCGGACATTCCCTCAGGAAATCCTGAGGGGGCCAGGGCAGGAATCCTGGGGGAACTGGAGGGGGGGGAACCTCCAACCTCCCAACTGGGATTTTAAACACTTCCCTAAATCCCAGCACGTGGCTGGGGGGGTGGACAGAGCTCCCTGGGGACAGTGGCAGGAGCTTCCAGGGACGCTTTTGTTCCCGGAGCTCTGGCACGGAGGTGCCTATTTTTAGAACCTGTCTCCTCCGGAGGAAAACAGGCCGTGATTTATCTCCCTCCTGATGAGCACGTCACGGCGCTCCCTGCAAACCCGGGTTTCTTGGAAACAGGGAGAGATGAGGGAGTTGAACGACTTGGCCTGAGGAGGCTCCAGTTTCCCCTCTATGGGCATAATCCAGCGGCTCCTCCGAGCGCGACGGCGGCTGCTCCCGAGGGACCCGTTCCCGAGCTCCTGGGCTCTGCTCCAAGAGGTCAAACTGCCTGGGATCGGGGCCACTGGTCTCTCCTCCCTGTTTTTCTTTGTAAATTCCCAGAATCCTAGGTTTGGAGGGACCTTCAAGGTCATCTAGATCCAACCCCCACCACAGGCAGGGTCACCTCCCAGCAGCCCAGGTTGCTCCAAGCCCCATCCAACCTGCCCTTCAACACTGCCAGGGATGGGGCAGCCACAGCTTCCCTGGCCCAGGCTCTCCCCATCCTCCCAGGGAGAATTTCCTCCTCATGTCCAACCTCAAGCTCCCCAGTCCCAGTTTCAAGCCACCCCCACCTTGTCCTCTCACTACAGGCCCAAGAGTCAACGTGATGCAGCCAGGACATGGAGACGCTTTGAAGTTCCAACCAACCCATGAGCCCGTGGTCAAAACACACCCAAAAAGCCAGAGAAAAGGAAAACCCTGTGAGTTGTCCATCCTGGGGGTGGTTCCACAGGGACCAGGAGTTCTCCCAGATGCAGCTCTGGACCGATCACCAACAGTTAATGACATCATCACCCATTTCAAAGGTCACAGGTTGAGAAACACCAACATTTCCTGAAGCACCTAAAGAGCCCTGACTCGTGGAGGCCGTGGTGGTCAAGGCTGATGAGCAGAGGTTCAGGCCACGCTCCAGAGCAGATTAAATTTTGCCTAAACCCTCCCCACCACCCCCAAGCCCCCCAGGAGGCATCTTGATGTGCTTCTCCACGTCCCAGCTCCTTGTTCAGCAGATGTTTCCTGCACAAAGCATCCTCTCTGTTTTGCACCAGAGCTCCTCAACATGTATTTGAAGACTAACGACACACCAGATGGTAGCTGTGACCATCAGCAAGGTGCCCAACTGCCTCAAGAGGTCATGGAGATGTTGAGAGAGCCAACATCTAACAGAACAAGCCCAGAGAAGGTAAATTAATTGGGTGAAGACAGGCTGGAGGAGCTGGGCTCATTTCACTTCAAGCTGAGAGCATGAAGGTGCCACAGTCACCAACTGGAGGGTGTTGAGAAGATGAAGCCAAACAGGTTCCTCAAGGACGTTGTGGCTGCTCCTTCCCTGGAAGTGTTCCAGGCCAGGTGGGATGGGGCTTGGAGCAATCTGAGGAGGTGGGAGGTGTTCCTGCCCATGGTGAGGGTTGGATCTAGATGACCTTGAAGGTTCCTCCAACCCAAACCATTCCATGATTCTATTAAGACCACCTGGATACATGCAACAATAGGATAAGGAAGTCACAGCATGGGAAACTCTTCCCCACGGGAGTGGGACAGCTCTGGGACAGGCCACAGGTGTGAGGGATTCTCCATCCTTGGAGATACTAAAAACTCAACTTGATGGGGCTCAACCAACCTCAGGTTGAATTTGGGTGGGCTTTGAGTACAGGGATGGGATGAAAACCTCTAGAGGGTCCTTCCAACCTCAACTATTCTGTGATTTTAGGATTAAAAACCCAAAGAAAGTTAAGAGTCCAAAGCAAAGAGGTCTTTTGGATGGTGGTTTCCACCAAGACCACCTAGAACCAGGGAGAGGATTGCTCTTCTGAAGAGCTCAACCAAGAAACCATCTTCTCCTGGAAGTTTTCTACCCAAGAGGTGGCTGAAGAACTTCAAGGAGTGAAGTCTTGAGGAGAAGTACTTGGGGGTAATGGTGGATGAGAAACTCAACATGGGATGGGACTGGATGAGCTTTAGGGTCCCTTCCCACACAAACCATTCCATGATCCCATGATTCAGAGATGAGGTGTGGAAAAAGAGACTCCCCCTTCCCTTCCTCTTTCTTGGTGACTTTTGGAGCCAATTTGATTCCTTGTCCGGGTTCTCTGCACCAAGCAGAAGCTGCATCAGCTCCTGGGACCTTCAGCTCTCAAGTGAAACCCTCGAGATTAAAGCCTGAGCCTTGAGTGGGACCTTGTCCTTCATTCCAGAGCTCAGGCACCTCTTGCAACATCTTGGTATGACTTGATGATGATGCAACGACCCTCCCCATGCCTCAGACCTTACGTGGGGAGGTCCCTCAGCCTGGTTGTGGAGGAGAGAAATGTTGTCTCTTTTTTGGTTTTTTTTTTCCAGGCTGGGGAAACCCAAAGCCTGGGAGAGCATGTGGAGCCACCCCAGGTTTTGTGGAGGCCACCAGCTGGGCTTGGGGGGACTTCTGGAAGCCTTCAGGTTGCTCAAAGAAGTCATAAGATGATTTCCTCTCTCCATTCTCCATCCAATCTGGATTTGTGCTGAGGTTGCCCCAACCCAGGTGCAGGACCTTGCCCTTGGCCTTGCTGACCTTCATGCAGTTTGCCCAGTCCCACCTCTCCAGCCTGTCCAGGTCCCCCTGGGTGTCCTCCCTCCCCTCTGGCATGTCACCTCACCACAGCTTGGGGTCCTCAGAGACCAGAGATGCTTCCTCCTCCTTTGCATCACATTCAAGGTTCAAGGCAGGACTGAAGGAGGCTCCTCAGCCCATGGGCAGGCGACCTTGAGGACAGGAGCTGGCAGGACATCGTGGCTCATCTGACCCTGGGGGATGGTGGGGATGGCACCATTGCATCCACTCAACACCAACACCCCCATGTTTGCTTCTCCTTAGGCCTCCC